TTTAATTTACCAGGGGTGGTAAAAAATACGAGTTTTTTCCCATATGAAAATTTTTATTTTCATTTTTTTTGAATTCCTTGTGGGAATAAAAACACGATTTTACGGTAGTGTAGAATTCTGTTATGAGAGCTCAGGTATTTAGGTTAGGTTTTAGTTAGGTTTTAGGTGTTTCCGCGCAATAATTTTGATGGATATATGTTTTTTAGGTCATAATTAACTATAATCTGTTGAAAAAAATCAATTTTTTAAATGTGCGTAAACTCCGGATTAGCCCAATTTTGTTTTATTGTTTTTTTTATAATTATTTTTATAAACCCTTAGAAAAATAGCAATTCAATTGTTTGTTGGCTATTTAAAGACATATTTTACTATTTGTTTACAACGACTATTGATTTTCAGCCAAACTTTAGGCCCGCACTTGTATGGTCTCCAATGCCTATAACTAAAGATTATCCAATCGTAACATTTTGGGATAACAACAACAATAACGATATTAAGACACAAACATTTAATTTTTCATTTTATTTACAACCGACTGACAATATCTATGAGACAACCGATCAGCAAAAGTTTGTTATTAATAGGAAACAGGAGATTAAGATCAATAAAGTAACAAAATTGATGGCAATTGTCAGACAGTATAGTCAGTATGATTATGCTAATGGTCAGGGATCCATTGTGTTCACCAATGTTGGCTACAATTCTGTCATCAAATACTGTTTAATAATTGTTATTAATACTAACAAAGATATTGAAATTAATTTTGATTTTAATTTGTTGTTGTGTTTTACTGATTCAATCGTTTTGATATTATTATCGCGTGATGTAACCAATGATAAATTTAACTAAAAAATAGATATATAAGATATTCAGGAATTCAGTTATAGCGATACAACATTAGGACCTATACTATAGAATACATTTTTGAAAAATAAGTTTTCAATTTGCCTATAAGTTTAGAGATTTGGTTTTTTAAGATTAAATATCAGTATTTTGTTTAACAGTTGTTTTTATATGAACTGTAGATATCAGTGAACAATGAAAGCCATCAATTGTCTGATCGGTATTTATTATTAATATAATGACACAATTAATTCATTGTATTGTATAACTGTTTTTACAATTAACAGCAGTCTTGTTGTTGTTGTTGGTGTTGTCGGCCATCATATCTGTGGTCATCAGTAAATTTTCGAAGAATTTCTGTGAAGAATATGCAAAAAATGGCCACAAAATTGATTTTGCATTTCGTTTATTTGAATTCTTCGATTACGATAATACAGAGACAAACAAATACTTCATCATCGGTAACAACAGCTGGCAATTGACATACAGTGACGGCTCAGATAAAACCGTTACTATTGATGAATTGAAAAATACAGATAAATTTAAATGGTTGTCCGGTAAAGATTACTCCATGGCCTGGACAGCCATTATTTATAAATGGAACCGATATTATAAAGTTATCGGTGCTCTTCGTGTGAGTAAAATTAAGAAAAAAATACTCACAATTATCGGTTTAAATCTATATTATAGACAACCAGAAAACAAAAGTATTGTTTTTTTTAGACAGTTATACATACTGTATATAAAATGTTAGTTTTATTACTTATGTATTATTTATCTAGTTATGGCTTGTTTGGGCCCAAACAAAGAGTGTGATGTTATGAAGTGGTTGGGTGTGGGTGGGGATGGGTTTGGGGCAAATAATTTTCTACTAGCTATCTATAATATAGATTTGTTATCAATTTTTTTATTAAATATATATTTTTTATAATTTTAATTTAATCATTAGAATGATTTGAAATCAATTGATTGGTTGGAATGGACAGATGTTTCGCAAAATATACAAATTTATAAATATTTAAATACATCGACAATAGATTTTCCGCCAAACTTTAAGCCGACACTCGCCTGGACTCCGATGAATATAACTAAAGATTATCCATTCGTTACATTTTGGGATAACAACAACAACAGCGATGTTAGGACACAAGTATATAATTTTTCCGATCATTTTCATCCGATCCATACAATCAATACAAACGAACAGCAAATGTTTATTGAAGGAAAACAAGAGATTAAGATCAATAGTATAACCAAATTGATGGCAATTGTCAGACAGTATAGTCAGTATGATTATGGCAATGGAACTGGTGGTCAAATGTATGGTCAGGGATCCATTGTGTTCACCAATGATGGCGACAATTCTTCCATCAAATACTGTTATGTGGGAAATCCATTCAATGAGACGGCCGTATAATTTCAACTAATGTCTACTAAAATATATGTATTACTAAACTACAAATAAATTTTTATTTAGTGTAAACCAGAAAATCTAAAGACTCTGATAGACTGTTCAAATAAAACAACAACAACTACATCAAAGACAACATCCATACCTAAACCGACCGGCACTCAAATAAATCACACAAATATTTGGTTTAAATGGTTGAAAACAACATTACTTATTGTGGTTAATGTAATCCTATTGATACTCATCTGTTTGATGATATACTTGGTATACAATCAATGGTTAAAACGATGTGCAAAACGATCTTAGAATTAAAAAATATTTTAATTATTTATTCATTTGTAAATTTTAAAAAATATTAATTATAAGTTATAAAAACATTTATTTTTTAATTTTACAATACTATTAAAAATAATTTATATATGTTTTATAATTGTTTAGTTAGAGTAATCAAAAATTTTAGTATATACTATATAATATTGTCACTAAATAGGAAGTCATATACAGATAAATGTTTATTATATTGACATAAACATTGATTTTAGTTTCAGTAATGCGATATTTATTTATAAACTTTTGTTGATAATTTATAATGTATTAAATATAATAATAATAATAGTTATTATTATAAGCAGTTAACCTTTATAAGCAATTAATTAATTTTTATAGTTTTATAAAATCCTAAATTATTTATATAAGTTTCATATTAAACTAGCAAATAATTAAGTCATGTTATTAATCTTAACAATGATATTGAAATTAATTTTGATATTGTTTTGTTGTTTTGTTTAACAGATTCAATTGTTTTGATATTATTATCGCGTAATCTAAACAAAAATTAAAACTAAAAAATAGATATTTGGCGAGACAACAATTAGACAATCTATATTAAAAAAATACATTTTAAAAAATAAGTTTTCAATTTGTCTATAAGTTTGGATATTTGTTTTTTTTATTAAAATTATTATTATGTTTGTTTAACATTTGTTTTTCTGATATCACTTGAATATGAAAGCCAATAATTGTCTGATCGGTATTTATTATTAATATATATCTGATATAAATATAATGACACAATTAATTCATAATCAATATTTGATTACATATTTATAACTGTTTTTACACAATTGAAAGCAGTCTTGTTGTCGGCCATCATATCGACGGTCATCACTGAGCCTACAAAGAATTTCTGTGAAGAGTATGCAAATAATGGCCACAAAATTGATTTTGCATTTCGTTTCTTTCAAAACAATGTAAATGAAACCACAGATGCATTCAATTATTTTATCATCGGTAACACCAGTTGGAAGTTAACCTATTGGGACGGCTCAGATAAAAACGTCAGCATTGATGCACTGGACGGTACCGATAAGTTTGACTGGTTGTCCGGTAAAAAATACTCTATGGCCTGGAGTTTCTATCAAAAAATAGGAACTATCAATTTTCCAGTTATCGGTGCACTGCAAGTAAATTAGTTTTTTTTTAATAAAAATATTCACAATTTATTGCAATCATATTAAATAATAACTTTTATTTTTCAAAAAAAAAAAAAATTATTAGAAAGATTTCAAATCTATTGATTGGTGGATTCAATACACCAATCGACCAGATTATGAGTATATGCATACATCGACAATAAATTTTTCGTCAAACTTTAAGCCGACATTTGGATTGTCGACAAGGATTCTAACTAATGATAACCTAATCGTTACATTTTGGGATAATAACAACAACATCAACGATATGTCAACACAAGTGTATAATTTTTCCGATTATTTTCAACCGACCCAAACAATCAATGCAACCGATCAGCAATTGATTGTCATTGAAGTTAAACGAGAGATTGAGATCAATAGAGCCATCAAATTGTTGGCTATTGTCAGACAACATAGTAATTATGATTATTTATATGGCAATGGAACTGCTGGTCAAATAGATGGTCAGGGATCCATTGTGTTCACCAATGTTGGCGACAATACTGCCATCAAATACTGTTATGTGGGAAATCCATTCAATGAACAGGCCGTATGATTTCAACAATGTCTACTAATATTGCATATGTATTACTAAACTATAAATTAATTTTTTATAATTTAGTGTAAACCTGAAAATTTAAAGATACTCATCGACTGTTCACATCAAACAACAACACCAAAGACAACTCAAACAAATCAGACAAATAGTTGGTTTAAATGGTTGAAAACAACATTACTTATTGTGGTTAATGTAATCCTATTGATACTCATCTGTCTGATGGTATACTTGGTATACAATCAATGGTTACAACGTTGCAGAAAACAAGAGGATAATTAAAAAATATATTATTATAATTTAGATAATATATTATTTATTTATTCATTTGTAAATTGTAAAAATATTGGTTATAATTTATACAAAAAAACACTAGATATTTTAGTTATTTATTTATTTGTAAATATTAAAAATTTACTTTTAATTTATAAAAACATTTTTTAATTTTACATTACTGTTATTTATTGAAAATAAGATATTAATTAATTTTTCTAATGTCTTGAAAATCTATAATTTATTTAATTGATAGGTATTTATTATACTATGAATAGGTTTAGTCTAAATTAGTTTATATATGTTTGCCTCGCGGCCTAACCTAACATAAACTAATTTAAACTAAAATAAAATATATAGAAATATCGTGACAACAATACGGACCTATCCTATAGTACACATCAAATAAATTTAGAGATTTGTATTTTGAGATTAAATATCAGTATTTTGTTTAACGATTTGTTTTTATATTAACTGAATTATATCAGTGGACAATGAAAGCCATCAATTGTCTGATCGGTATTTATTATTAATATAATGACACAATTAATTCATAATCAGTATTTCATTACATATATATATATATATATATATATATATATATCTGTATAACTGTTTTCACAAATGACAGCAGTCTTGTTGTTGTTGGTGTTGTCGGCCATCATATCTGTGGTCATCAGTGAGCCTTCGAAGAATTTCTGTCAAGAATATGCAAATAATGGCCACAAAATTGATTTTGCATTTCGTGTCTTAGAAGACAAAACTTATGATAAAACAGAATCAAACAAATACTTCTTCATTGGCAACACTTACTGGCAATTGACATACAGTGACGGCTCCGATAAAACCGTTACCATTGATGATTTGAAAAATACCGATGAGTTTAAATGGTTGACCGGTAAAAAGTACTCCATGGCCTGGACTATCCAAAGTTCAAAATGGTATTTTGTTTATCCAGAAATTATCGGAGCTCTACAGGTAATTAAATCTATATTATAGACAGTCAGCAAAAAAGTATTGTTTTTTTAAAAGCTATTATACATATATAAAATGTTAGTTTGGAGTAAGTGTAAGGTTAGGAAGTGGTTGATTGGGTGGGGATGGGTTTGGGGCAAATAATTTTCTACTGGCTGTCTATAATATAGATTTGTTATAAAAATAATTATAAACATTTAATTGTAATTATTTTATTATTATTATTTTTACAATTAAATACTAGTTTTTATTATTTTATTTTTTTAAACCATTAGAAAGATATGAAGACTATTGATTGGTGGGAAAAGAGTCATATTATAACATATTTTTTAAATTGGAAATATTTAAGTACATCGACAATAGATTTTACGTCAAACTTTAAGCCGACACTCGCCTGGACTCCGATGAATATAACTAAAGATTATCCAATCGTAACATTTATGGACAACAATAACAACAACGATGTGAAGACACGAGTATATAATTTTTCACATCATTTTCATCCGATTCATACAATGAATACAAACGATCAGCAAATGTTTATTGAAGGAAAACAGGAGATTCAGATCAATAGTATAACCAAATTGATGGCAATTATCAGACAGTATAGTCAGTATGATTTTGCCAATGGAAATGGTGGTCAAATGGGTGGTCAGGGATCCATTGTGTTCACCAATGATGGCGACAATTCTTCCATCAAATACTGTTATGTGGGAAATCCATTCAATGAGACGGCCGTATGTTTTCCATACTGTCTACTAATATAAATGTATTACTAAACTACAAATAAATTTTTATTTAGTGTAAACCAGAAAATCTTAAAACACTGATCGACTGTTCCCTAAAAACAACAACAACAACACCTAAGACATCATCCATATCAATGACAACATCCATATCTACGTTAACAACCATTCCTACACAGACTCAAACTAATGGTACAATTAATTGGTTTAAATGGTTGAAAACTACATTATATATTGTGGTTATTGTAATCCTATTGATATTCATTTGTTTGATGATATATTTGGTTTACAAGCAATGGTTAAAACGATGCACAAAATGATTATAAAATGAAATAAAATAATTTAAACATTTTATTATTTATTTGTATTGTCACTATATATATATATATATCGGTATAATTATTTATTATATTTACATTTTATAAATGCTTTTGTTTAAATAAATCAAAACTTGTGTATTAATTTGGTTTAAATGGTTATCAAAAACATCATTACTTTTTGTGGTTAATGTAATCCTATTGATACTCATTTGTTTGATAATATACTTGATAGACAATCAATGATTACAACAATACAGAAAACAGTCATAAAATTAACATATAATATATTTTACATTTTTTATATGTAATAAATTTTATTATAATTTTATAAAATACACATTTTTTTTAATAGAAATAAATTTTAAAATTTATATATTAATACAAATATGACTAGTACTACTATACGGTATTTTAGTTAAAATCTTATATAAAAATTTTTTCTTTATTAATAAACTATTCAATAGTTGATTAAAAATGCCAATGGTTGAATGGTAAGTATTTTAGATAATTAAAAAATTTTGATACAATTATAAGTTATAAACTCATAATTGACTTCTGTTGACGATTAATCGTTTGATCAGATTTTGATATGAAATTCCTGTTTTAAGTAGATTATAGAAAAATTATATTTTCAAAAAAAATTATTAGCAAACTATGTATAAACAGACAAATATTCAATACTATTCAATATATATATATATGAAAAGTATATAAAATAAAATTGTCATCAATTGCTAATACTATTTATACTTTAAATATTTTGCTTACAATTATAATTAATTGTCAAATATGTCGCTATTTAAATAATAAGACCACACTTGGTTGAGATCACCCAAACGAAACTTAATCACATTCATTAATCCAGGAAAAAAACTATACATCTGACCCCTACTACTAGTCCGCAATAATTTGATACCACTTCCACAGTAGTTAACAAATCGGCGGTGAATCTCTTTCATTGCCATATGATTTATGAGATCCAACTGATAATCGGATTCCGATAGTTCCGATTCATACATATTCAACCATTTATTGTATGATTCATCTATTGGACCAACTTTTGGAAATACTGGATCTACTTGTCTTCTGTACGGATTGTCCAACGACTCGAACACTTCAAACATCACTGCAAACAGTATATCCGTAATCATCGGATCCACACTATTGTAGTCAAAATTGTAGTCAGAAATCAATTTACTGCAATCATCGGGACTATAGAGACGAAATCGGTTGAGTCGATCGCCAAATAAGTCCATAATTGCCATCAGTTTGTTGTCAGTCAATGTGTCGGCAAATTTTGGACCAAAACATAGCGATTCAATTTGCGGACAATTTTTAGCAAAACGTGTTATTGTTTTAAGACTTAATTCTGGACTAATGACCAATACTTCAATGTTTGGCAATTTGTCGGCCAACCAATGAATCTCAATGAAGTGTATCTTCAGTCCATTGATGTCCAAAGTATTTCTTGTATAACACTCGTCGTCAGTCATCAGTTGTGATCTGATTCGCAATACTTTTACTTTTTTCAGACTTTGTTGACAACAATACTGAAACTGTTTGCTAACTCTTTGCAATTGAAACAACTCTTTCGGATTCAACATATTTAAGATGTTTATCAACACATCGTCGTTAAGTATCGACTGAAATGTGATATCAATTAAATATATAAATTGAGGTTTAAATTAATAATCTGTTGTTTAATTTACCTCTACATCAATGTTTGCCAATCGATACAACCATTGATCCACTGAATCACAAACTTCATGATCATTACTATCGATGTCTTTGTTAATCACGGCTTCAGTAGTCACGGCTTTGTCCAAACAATCGGCCATTTTTTGTTTGTTAGATGTCTTTACCGACAAATTTGACAACAATTGATACAACAGAAGAGCAGTAAAATTAGATTAAAATAATTGTTTTATTTATATATACTTTTGTTACAGTTATTTATATAAAAAACTAAATAAAGTATTTTCTTAAAAAAAGTAAATTATATGTAAAATGTGTTTATATGTGTTTAATATTTAGTAAATTATTTAAAATTTTATTACATTGATTACTAAATTTTATTTTTATATTATAATTATTTATATAAGTAATTTTAGTTTTTACTAGTAATTAATTTTATTTATTTATAGTTTTTTTGTGGATTTGTATATTATTGTCGCGCGAAATATAACCTATAAATTATAAACGAGACAACAATGAGTAGTATATAATACTATATACTATATAATAACTTTTCAAATAAGTTTCCAATTTGTCTATTAGTTTAGTTTTTATGTTTAGATTAATTACCAGTTTTTTTGGTTTATAAATTGATTATCATTGACAATGAAAGCCATTATTTATCTAATTGGTATTTATTATTAATATATATATATATATATATATATATATATATATATATATATTGACTCAATTAATTCATAATAAATTCTTATATAAAACACGGTTGTATGGTAGATCAGCATTAGTTGAATACAATTCGTGTATAAATATAGAGTTTATTATTATTATTATTATTATTATTATTATAATCAATATTTAATTATAACTTTATTTACAATTGACAGCAGTCTTGTTGTTGTTGGTGTTGTCGGCCATCAAATCTGTGGTCAGCAATAAGTCTTCAAAGAATTTCTGTGACGAATATAGAAAAAATGGTCACAAAATTGATGTTGTATTTCGTTTCTCTGAAGACAATAATTATGATAAAACAGAATCAAACAAATACTTCTTCATCGATAACAACTGTTGGCAATTGACATACAGTGACGGCTTTCAGAAAACCGTTACAATGGATACGTTTAACACTATCGATAAGTTTGACACGTTTTCCGGTAAAATTTACTCCATGGCCTGGACAATACGTATTAAAATAGATGCTTATTTTGATGCTATCGGAGCTCTCCGAGTAAATACAAAAAATACAAAAAATTTTCGGCAAAGATTTCAATAATATTTTTTGTTTTTAATTAAATACTATTTATTTATTTTTTAACTAAATTAGAAAGATTTGAAAAATATTGATTGGTGGCACAAAGGTATGTATTATGGTATAAAATTTTTTGATACGTCGACAATAGATTTTCCGTCAAACTTTAAGCCGACACTTGCCTGGACTCCGTTGAATATAACTAAAGATTATCCAATCGTAACATTTATGGACAACAATAACAACAACGATGTGAAGACACGAGTATATAATTTTTCAACTTATGATAAACCGATCGACAATATCTATGGATTAAGCGAAAAGCAAAAGTTTTTTATTGAAGGAAAACAAGAGATTAAGATCAATAGTGTAACCAAACTGATGGCAATTGTCAGACAGTATAGTCGTTATGATTTTGTCAATGGAAAAGGTGGTGAAATGGGTGGTCAGGGATCCATTGTGTTCACCAATGATGGCGACAATTCTGTCATCAAATACTGTTATGTGGGAAATCCATTCAATGAGACGGCCGTATGTTTTGTTACATTAATATCTACTAACATATGAACTATTAAATTACAAATAAATTATTATTATTTAGTGTAAACCAAATAATCTAAAGACACTCATCAAATGTTCACCTAAATCAACAACAACTACACCTAAGACAACAGCAACTCATAAGACAACATCCATACCTAAGACAACAACAGTCATAACTACAACAACTGGTAATAAAACTAATGATACAATAAATTGGTTTAAATGGTTGAAAACAACATTTCTTATTGTTGTTAATGTAATCCTATTGATACTCATCTGTTTGATGGTATACTTGGTTTACAAGCAATGGTTAAAACGATGCACAAAATGATTGTAAAATGAAATAAAATAATTTAGACATTTTATTATTTAATTGTATTGTCACTATACATATGATAACTATTTATTATATTTACATTTTATAAATACTTTTTAAAAAACTTGTGTATTTGGTTTAATTGATTGAAAAAACTACATTACTAATAGAAATATATTTTTTAATTTATATACTAGTAACTACAGTCTAATATGTTAATTATTAACAAATAATATTATTTAATATAATAACAACAACAAAAAATAAATAAAACTTAGTCTTTACCTAATAATTAACTATTGTCACTATACATATATAACATATATAATTTTTAATATAAATTATTTAAAGTTTTTTTTACATTAATTACTAAATTTTATTTCTATATTATAATTATTTAATACTTTCTTTAAATCTAAACAAAACTCTCTTAAAACTAAATAAAGTATTTTTTTAAAAATAGTAAATTTTATGTAAAATGTGTTTAAAATTTACTAAATTATTTAAAGTTTTATTACATTGATTACTAAATTTTATTTCTATATTATAATTATTTATAGAACTTTTTTTTTTAAAAAAGTTGTAATTTTAGTTTTTAATTAATTTTATTTATTTATAGTATTTTTTTGTAGATTTAATTGTATTGATATTATTGTCGCTCGAAATATAACCTATAAATTATAAACGAGACAACAATGAGTACCTATACTATAGAATACCTTTTCAAATAAGTTTCCAATTTGTCTATTAGTTTAGTTTTTATGTTTAGATTAATTACCAGTTTTTTTGGTTTATAAATTGATTATCATTGACAATGAAAGCCATTATTTATCTAATTGGTATTTATTATTAATATATATATATATATATTGACTCAATTAATTCATAATCAATATTTAATTATAACTTTATTTACAATTGACAGCAGTCTTGTTGTTGTTGGTGTTGTCGGCCATCAAATCTGTGGTCAGCAATAAGTCTTCAAAGAATTTCTGCAACGAATATGTAAAAAATGGTTACAAAATTGATTTTGTATTTCGTTTCTTTGAAGACAATAAATATGTCAAAACAGAGTCAAACAAATACTTCATTATCGGTAACAACTGTTGGCAATTGACATACAGTGACGGCTTTAAGAAATCCGTTACAATGAATATGTTTAAAACTATCGATAAGTTTGACACGTTTTCCGGTAAAATTTACTCCATGGCCTGGACAACAAGTATTAAACTAGAGGATTATTTTGATGCTATCGGAGCTCTCCGAGTAAGTAAAAATATTTAAAAAAAATTCCGGCAAAGATTTCAATGATATTTTTTAGTTTTTAATTAAATACTTTTTATTTATTTATTTTTTTTAACTAAATTAGAAAGATTTGAAAAATATTGATTGGTGGCACAAAGGTATGAATTATGGCATAAACTTTTTTGATACGTCGACAATAGATTTTACGTCAAACTTTAAGCCGACACTCGCCTGGACTCCGATGAATATAACTGAAGATTACCTAATCGTTACATTTATGGACAACAATAACAACAACGATGTGAAGACACGAGTATATAATTTTTCATCTTATTATAAACCGATCGACAATATCTATGGATTAAGCGAAAAGCAAAAGTTTTTTATTGAAGGAAAACAGGAGATTAAGATCAATAGTGTAACCAAACTGATGGCAATTGTCAGACAGTATAGTCGTTATGATTATGCTAATGGAAAGGGTGGTGAAATGGGTGGTCAGGGATCCATTGTGTTCACCAATGTTGGCGACAAAACTGCCATCAAATACTGTTATGTGGGAAATCCATTCAATGAGACGGCCGTATGTTTTGTTACATTAATATCTACTAACATATGAACTATTAAATTACAAATAAATTATTATTATTTAGTGTAAACCAAAAAATCTAAAGACACTCATCAAATGTTTCCCTAAAACAACAACAACTATACCTAAGACAACAACAACTCCTAAGACAACATCCCTATCTATGACAACATCCATACCTAAGACAACAACCATTCCTACATTGACCGGCACTCAAACTAATGGTACAAATAATTGGTTTAAATGGTTGAAAACAACATTTCTTATTGTGGTTAATGTAATCCTATTGATACTCATTTGTTTGATGACATATTTGGTTTACAAGCAATGGTTAAAACGATGCACAAAATAATTGTAAAATGAAATAATATAATTTGACATTTTATTATTTATTTGTATTGTCACTATACATAGATAACTATTTATTATATTAATAATATTTACATTTTATAAATACTTTTTAAAAAAAACTTGTGTATTAAATTGGTTTAATTGATTGAAAAAACTACATTACTATTAAAAATATATTTTTTAATTTATATACCAGTAACTACAGTCTAATATGTTAATTATTAACAAATAATATTATTATTTAATATAACAACAACAACAAATAAATAAAACTTAGTCTTTACCTAATAATTAACTATTTTTTAGTGGTTGCACAAAATAATTGACACCAATTTGATAATTATTTTTTTGATAATCATATATATAAACCATATATTATTCCCCGATCCGTATAGTATGTCCATCCATTGACATCTAGTGTTTCCACATTAGCTAATAAATTTAAAATACTGGATCTCCTGTTTTTTTTTCTATACGGATTGTCCAACGACTCAAATACTTACCAAAAACAGTGTTTCCATTGTTCAAATTGTATCCATACTATTGTTGTAATCACTGGTAATTGTAGATAATTATAGTTTTGATCGAATAAATTATATATTAAAATAAAGTAATTTTGTTTATTTATTTTTTTATTTCAAACAAATATTGATTAAACATATTTCTAAATAAATATATATACAATTTAAGTTCGTGTCCAAAGATGATAGAGATCACCCAATCGACAATTAATTGCTACCGATTTCTTAGAACTGGATGTGCTGTAAATCATTCCCGAAGCTATAATATAGTGCCACTTGCGGTACTTCGAGCACGGATAGTATYTACTCAATCGGCGCCTAATCTCAGTCATGGCCACTTTGATTACGAAAACATTGTAATCGGGATCATCTGCCAATGATATGAACGTATTGTCAATGTCTGGATACTCATCGATTAGATCCTGTTTTGTATATTTGATGTACGGATTGTCTCCGGACTCGAATATCTCGAACATCAAATCAAATAGTATATCCATTTTATCCGATTTTTTGTAACCATTTTTGCGATCATTAGTATCCAAGATATCCGGACAATACATACGAAATCGGTTGAGTCGGTCGCCATAGATGTCGAGTATTGTCATCAGTTTGTCATCGGTTAACGAGTCGACAAATTTCGGACCAAAACATAGCGATTCAATTTGCAGACACTTTTGGCCAATGATTTCCAACGCTTCGATAGTCAAATTAGGACTAATGACCAGTACTTTAATGTTTAGCAATTGTTTGGCCAACCATTGAAAGTCAATGAAGTGTATCTTCAGTCCATTGATATCCAAAGTATTTCTTGTATAACACTCGTCGTCAGTCATCAGTTGTGATCTGATTCGCAATACTTTTACTTTTTCAAGACTTTGTTGACAACAATACTGAAACTGTTTGCTCACTCTTTGCAATTGAAACAACTCTTTCGGATTCAACATATTTAAGATGTTTATCAATACATCGTCATTGAGTATAACCTTAAATATGTAATCAATTAATAGATTTACATAAAAAAAAACTATTAATATAAATCTATTTTGTTTATCTAATTTACTTCAGTTGGTTCGGGTTTATTGGATATTTTACCCAAACAGTCACCCATTGTTTTCTGATGTCTTCACCGAAATATTCACTTCAATTATTATTATAAAAAACCGTTACAACAGCTATTATTCTGTATACATAACTACTGTTATTTGATTTATATATTCACTAGTTATCTCCACGTAATAAAATGTGTATCAATAGTTAACACGTGCAACAATACTTACGCGCTTAGTTTATTATAAAAAAGTATATTTTATTTAATTATCAAGATAACATTTTAAGACATTTGTTTTGTCTGTTTGTTTATCTGTCTGTCTGTCTGTATGCGTGCACATTTCATCAACAACCATATTTTAATTCAAATGTAAAAATGTATTGTTTTATTTTCATTTTTTATTGAAAGCAATGTTATTTCTATGGGAAATTGATTATTGAGGTCAAGTAGATTTTGAGGACAAAGAGGCAGGTATTGTGGAATTACATTTTACTATATTATATGAGTCATAGGGCACCGGGAGGTTAGCTACCTGTGCTAAATTTTTGTAAAATTTTCTCAAATGCAAAAATTTTCAATTTGTATTAAAATTTTCAATTTTTTCAAAAATTATATATTTTTTAAATTGTATTAATTTAATTATTGCACGAGAAAAATAATTTGTTTATTTATTATTTATCATTAAATACATAACAATTTTAATAAATCGCGTGATTTAATAAATATTTAATAATCGCGTAATTTAATAAATATTTAATAAACGCGTGAAATATAAATTTAAAATAATTAAAAAAATAAAATTTTAAATATTGATAAGCAGTTTTAAAGACGTTTCTTTTGATAGCATAAATTTATTTTCCATTATATTGTAACTACATATGAATTATACAATATAACTAAAAATTAAAAATTAAAAATATTGATAACAGTTTTAAAGACGTTTCTCTTGATTGCGTAAATTTATTTTTACATATATTGTAACTGTATATGTAAACAACATTATACTAAAAAATCATCAAATTTTAATAGCGCGAACTTTTTTTATTGACGATTTTATTGATAGCATAAATTTATTTTCCATTATATTGTAACTACATAAGAATTATACAATATAACTAAAAATAAAAAATTATAAATATTGATAAGCAGTTTTAAAGACGTTTCTCTTGATTGCGTAAATTTATTTTTACATATATTGTAACTGTATATGTAAACAACATTATACCAAAAAATCATCAATTTTTAATAGCGCGAACTTTTTTTATAGATGTTTTTATGGATAGTATAAATTTATTTTTACTTAGATTTTAACTACATATGTATTCTACAATCTAACTAAAAAAATAAAAATTCTAATATTGCTTAACAGTTTCAAAGACGTTTTTTATGATTGCGTAAATTTATTTTTACATATATTGTAACTTTACATGTATACAACATTATACCAAAAAATCATTAATTTTTAATAGCGCGAACTTTTTTTATAGACGTTTATATGGATAGCATAAATTTATTTTTACTTAGATTTTAACTACATATGTATTCTACAATCTAACTAAAAAAATAAAAATTCTAATATTGCTTAACAGTTTCAGACGTTTTTTATGATTGCGTAAATTTATTTTTACATATATTGTAACTTTACATGTATACATTATACAAAAAAATCATTAATTTTTAATAGCGCGAACTTTTTTTATAGACGTTTATATGGATAGCATAAATTTATTTTTACTTAGATTTTAACTACATATGTATTCTACATTTTAACTAAAAAATTCTAATATTGCTTAACAGTTTCAAAGACGTTTCTCTTGATTGCGTAAATTTATTTTTACTTAGATTTTAACTACATATGTATTCTACAATCTAACTAAAAAAATAAAAATTCTAATATTGCTTAACAGTTTCAAAGACGTTTTTTATGATTGCGTAAATTTATTTTTACATATATTGTAACTTTACATGTATACAACATTATACAAAAAAATCATTAATTTTTAATAGCGCGAACTTTTTTTATAGACGTTTATATGGATAGCATAAATTTATTTTTACTTAGATTTTAACTACATATGTATTCTACATTTTAACTAAAAAATTTTAATATTGCTTAACAGTTTCAAAGACGTTTCTCTTGATTGCGTAAATTTATTTTTACATATATTGTAACTGTACATGTATACAACATTATAGCAAAAAAATCATCAATTTTTAATAGCGCGAACTTTTTTTATAGACGTTTATATGGATAGCATAAATATAGCAAAATAGTCATTTATAATCAGAATTATAATTGTAGTTGACTATTGTATATGTATATCTATAGGTCTCATTATAAAGAATTTTGTTAAGCAATTAGTAAGAGTATGCAATACTATACATGTTGCGCGGGTAAAACTAGTTATTTATTTAATTATTATTTATTTAATTATTATACAGTTAATTACATCTTCATTAATGTCAGCAAATGGTAACAGACATCGATCTATTGAATCATCTTTTAAGACACTATCGATGTCTATGTCAATCACATAGTCATTAGAAACTATAGATTTATCAGTTGTATTGTCCAAATAATCGGTCATTTTTTGTGGTTAGGTTTTGGCTAAATTGAAGCTGAGCTACCGGAGCTAAAACTCGGTTTTTTCAACGGAAAACAGATCTTCGGGTCCTAATAAACATATATCGATAAAAATTATTGCGCGGAAACACCTACAACCTACTCACTCTGACCTAACATACCTGACCTTATATACATAAACTTAATATAATATAACAAACTTTAAGGCTAAAATCTATGTTGTAAGCACCGTTTTTTAAATTATTTACACGCGCTATTGTTTCAATCATTTTAATTATATTTCACGCGCTTTTGATACTATTACTATTATACAGTAATCATATAATACATTTGTATAATACCATTATAATTAGGTTAAGGTTGCGGTCCGAACACCAGGTTAGGTAACGGAGCGAACACTAATACAATAGATTAGGTTATGTTAACATTTGTGTAAATAGGTTAGGTTAGTTAAATAGAAAATGATCTTATTTTTGCTTAAACTTATTTACTTTTAATTTATTAATTATAAAAATACGTGTAAATATCGCGTGAAATACAATTAAAATGATTGAAACAATAGCGCGTGTAAATAATATAAAAAACGGTGCTTACAAGATAGATCGGCTCCAACTTTAATACATAATACTTAGTAATCATAACTGTTTAGCGCGAGAATATTTTTTTTTAATTGTTAACAATAAAATTGTATTTTATATAAAAATGTTAACTTAACCTAACCTAATGTATTAGTGTTCGCCACGTTTTACCGTTCATTTTATTGTTAAAAATTAAAAATAATATTCACGCGCTAAACAGTTATGATTACTACATTTGTATAATACCATTATAATTAGGTTAAGGTTGCGGATCGAACACCAGATTAGGTAACGGAGCAAACACTAATACATTAGATTAGGTTAAGTTAACATTTTTATATAAAATACAATTTTATTGTTAACAATTAAAAAAATATTCTCGCGCTAAACAGTTATGATTACTAAGTATTATGTATTAAAGTTTGTTATATTATATTAAGTTTATGTATATAAGGTCAGGTATAGGTTGTAGGTGTTTCCGCGCAACACAAGAAATACATTGGACATCAATGGACTGAAGATACACTTGATTGAGATTCAATGGTTGGCAATTGCAAAGAGTTAGCAAACAGTTTCAGTATTGTTGTCAACAAAGTCTGAAAAAAGTAAAAGTAAAAAAATAAATCTATACTACAATTATCTGTTAATTATAATTTGTTCAATGTTTGTGTCATATTTGTGTTTCGCAAACAATTACTTTTAATGTGTCGCGCGATTATTAATAATTTAATAAAATATACTTTTTATAATACACTATATATTATATAGCGCGTGAAAGCATTGTTTAGTAAAGAGAGAGAGAGAGAGAGAGAGAGAAAAAAAGTATTGTTGCACGTGTTAACTATTGATACACATTTTATTACGTGGAGATAACTAGTGAATATATAAATCAAATAACAGTAGTTATGTATACAGAATAATAGCTGTTGTAACGGTTTTTTATAATAATAATTGAAGTGAATATTTCGGTGAAGACATCAGAAAACAATGGGTGACTGTTTGGGTAAAATATCCAATAAACCCGAACCAACTGAAGTAAATTAGATAAACAAAATAGATTTATATTAATAGTTTTTTTTATGTAAATCTATTAATTGATTACATATTTAAGGTTATACTCAGTGACGATGTGTTGATAAACATCTTAAATATGTTGAATCCGAAAGAGTTGTTTCAATTGCAAAGAGTKAGCAAACAGTTTCAGTATTGTTGTCAACAAAGTCTTGAAARAGTAAAAGTATTGCGAATCAGATCACAACTGATGACTGACGACGAGTGTTATACAAGAAATACTTTGGACATCAATGGACTAAACATACACTTCATTGACTTTCAATGGTTGGCCAAACAATTGCCAAACATTAAAGTACTGGTCATTAGTCCTAATTTGACTATCGAAGCGTTGGAAATCATTGGCCAAAAGTGTCTGCAAATTGAATCGCTATGTTTTGGTCCGAAATTTGTCGACTCGTTAACCGATGACAAACTGATGACAATACTCGACATCTATGGCGACCGACTCAACCGATTTCGTATGTATTGTCCGGATATCTTGGATACTAATGATCGCAAAAATGGTTACAAAAAATCGGATAAAATGGATATACTATTTGATTTGATGTTCGAGATATTCGAGTCCGGAGACAATCCGTACATCAAATATACAAAACAGGATCTAATCGATCAGTATATAAACGGCGATAACGTCTATATGTTAATGTCATCGGCAGATGATCCCGATTACAATTTTTTCATAATCGAAGTGGCCATGAATGAGATTAGCCGCCGATTGTGTAGATACTATCCGTGCTCGAAGTCCCGCAATTGGTACTGGACTATATCTTCGGGAATGATGTACAGATCATCCAGTTCTAAGATATCGGTACCAATTAGTTGTCGATTGGGTGATCTCTATCAGCTTTGGACACGATTTTAAATTGTATATATATTTATTTAGAAATATGTTTAATCAATATTTGTTTGACACCTTTACCAAAAAAAACAAATAAAATTATTTAGATAAAAAAAATAAATAAACAAAATTACTTTTTCTTAATATATAATTTATTTGATCAAAATTATAATTATCTACAATTACCAGTGATTACAACAATAGCATGGATACAATTGATTAAAGGAAACACTGTTTGTGGTAAGTATTTGAGTCGTTGGACAATCCGTATAGAAAAAAAACAGGAGATCCAGTATTTCTTGAAAGTCAATATACAAACCAAATTCGCCTTAAATTTACCAAAATTACGGAATATTAATATCGTAAACCCGAGTAAACCAGTGGCTAATCCGGAGTTTACGCACATTAAAAAAATTGATTTTTTTCAACAGATAATAGTTAATTATGACCTAAAAAACATATATCCATCAAAATTATTGCGCGGAAACACCTAAAACCCAACTAAAACCTAACCTAAATACCTGAGCTCTCATAACATAATTCTACACTAATTATAAATAAATTTGCCCGAGCGAAGCGAGGGGAGCATTTATAGATACCTTGGGTTATAAGGATTATATATATATACATGTCAATGGCCGGAGGTGAAGGGTCAAGAAGCTGGAGAGGTCATTACATATATATGACATATATATATATATATAGTAATATACACTACATTTTTGTAGTGTTTCTTTATAAATAGGTTTAGGTTGCGAGGCCTACACCAGGTTAGGTAAAAGGGGTATTGCCCGAGCGTAGCGAGGGGGGCTTAATGTATACCCAGGATATACATATTATCAGGGTTTTAAATGTGGCAGGAATAAACAATAGATGCAAATTTTGCCAAATATAAACCCTTTATAAAACATTGTTTTTTAAAACCCTGCATATGATACATTAGCAGTGCAGGCATCAAACTTGTCTACCCGTCACCAAATAACAATTTTAATGTAAAAATTGAATAAAATTAATTGAATAAAAAATTAAAAATTAAAAAAAATATATTTTTCTTTAACTTCGGCCATTGATATTTGGTGTAGTGATACCCTCCCTCCTAAACTTTAAAACCCATACTCTAAACCCCCCCAATTCCGCCCCCCAAATTCCGAACCCCCGCCCATCGTTGTTAAGTATCAACTAAAATATTTTATCATTTAATACATAAATTATTTTTTTAAAAATACAACAAAAATATTGTTTAATTTACCTCTTCATCAATGTCTGCCAATGGATACAACCATTGATCCACTGAATCATCTTTTATTACATTATCGATGACTATGTTAGTCACACAGTCATTAGCCACTACTTTATCAAATATATTATCCAAAAAATCGGCCATTTTTTCGGTTGTCTTCACCGACACATTAAATGATAGAAAAACTGATAAAACAGTGAAATATCACTAAAATAATAGTTATTTGATATATTTGTTACAGTGTTTTAGCAACAAAAAAATTTATTATTATATTATTTTTAGGATGGGTTAGACTGTTCCCATACAACCATACCTACAATAACAACTAATAGTAAAACTAATAGCTCTTATAAGTGGTTAAAAAAATTTTTTTTATTTTGGTCACTACTGTTGCCTATTAATTATCATTTGTTTAATGATATATTTTATATAGATTTTATAGTCAATATATGATCTAAAAAAATTGGATAAAAGATAAGTTGTCTTCAAATTTAATTTAAAAAAACAATTAATTAATTTGACAATACATTTAATCATTTTAGATTAAATTGCAAACAATTGTGTAAACTTTAAAATAAAAAATTATTTTCTAATTTATATTTTTTTTGAAGATAAGTAATTTGAACACAAAATATTTAGACTTTAATTGAAATCATTTATTCTATCAATATATTGATTATCGATATAATGAATATCCCAAAAACAAACAAACAAATCAATCAATAATCACATTACAAGCCATCAGTAAAAATAATTATTGCTTTTTGTATCGTCGTCTGAGTCTTCGGCACGAGTATTGTGACATTGGATGTCCAGTGGTTGTCGATGAAGATGACGACGACGATAACTGGTCAGTCATTTTATGGCTGAACTCATTCATACCATTGATACTATTGCTATTGATTTCATTGATCAGTTGTTGTTTGTCTTTTCGGGTTTTGTCACTTCGGAGAACCATTGAATGGTATGAATACTGAATGTCTTTTTCTTCTTTAATAAACCACTTGATTTGATCAATCGGTTCGGCGAACCAAACACTCATGACTGGTCTGTCGTCACTACAACATAAGTAAAGTATTGGATCAGATATATAGTGATCAGCGAAATAACTTCGCTATTGACTTACCCTTTGATTGACATATTTTTGCTCTTAAGCATCGATTTCTTTGGTTTCATATAACAGTTTGGAAATGTATACAAACCGTTGACCATTGAATTGGTGACCGATTGATGGTAGTGGTGGTCAACACCGTTAGGTGTGTCAGCACAGCGTTGGCTATTACTACTACTACAAGACTGGCCATCGATGGTATTATCGACCACACTGTCCGATACAGACGAAGACAATTGTTTACTGTTTTTCTGTTTCATTCAGATTTTTCACACAAATTACACGATTGATATAGAAATCAAATTTCAAATGAGATTCAAAATAACTAATTTTTTCAGTTAATGATTTCATATATTAATTCAGCTGAATTTTATTTAGCTGATAACTGAATATAAATATATATATAATTTAACTTTAAATATTTATATAACTTTTTTAAACATTTAAATTCACGTTAAATTTCCTAAATTTTAAATTAATAATTTATTTAGTAATAAAAAAAATTTATTATCCTATATATACACACAAACAGTATAYATATATGGTATATTCAATATACCTGTATTAATCAATATAATTAAAGATTATCGTATATTGAATATATTTGTTAAACATTAGAAATTAAATTATTTATTTAATTTGTTGAAATATTCAATTATTTCAATCTTAATTTTTTTTATAGAAATTGTTGATCGATACAAATCAATACAAATTATTGCTTTTATTTTAGTTGTAAAAGCAATTAGAAATATAAAAAATATATATATTGTTTCCAAAGCTGATGCAGAATTAAACGATAGAAATTAAATGATAGAAATTAAATGATAGAAATTAAATGATAAATAAAAAAAACGTTGTTTTAGTAATTCAAATGAATAGATATTCAGTGGTTTATCTGGTTTTTTGATAATCAATTTTAAGTGTTGTTTAATGATGTTTCCAATACTGTATGAGATCACCGAATCGGCACTGAATGAACTCTATCGACGACTTGACCACTGGATGATCGGCAGCGACGCCATCGGTCTCTTCGCGACCAAACACACAAAACCATTGGCCGGCAGAGTAGCGCTTGAATCGTCTTTCAATCTCTTTTGTGGCCACTGTTGTCAAGAAAATTGTCTGGAAATCGCCGGTCGGCGGAAAACCATCTTTTAGACCAAAACAGGCAAAACTGCCGCTCATATCGTTGTCGAGAAAGTTATCCGGTTTCGTGTACGGATTGTCCCGCGACTCAAACACTTCAAACGTTAATTCAAACAGTGTGTCCATAACCGACTGTTCCATACTATTATAATCATCAGAATTGCCAATTTGTGGACAATAGACACGCAAACGATTGAGTTGGTCGCCATAGATGTCGAGAATTGCCATCAGTTTGTCGTCAGTCAATGTTTCAGCAAATTTCGGACCAAAACATAGCGAATCAATTAGCGGACACTTTTGGCTAATGATTAACAACGAGTCGAGACTCAATTCGGGACTAACGACCAGTACTTCAATGTTTGGCAGTTTGTCGGACAGACATTCAATATCCATATAATATATCTTCAGTCCAGTGATAATCAAAGTGTCAGTTGTATAACATTCGTCGTCATCGTCGTTGTCGTTGTCAGTCATCAGTTGTGATCTGATTCGCAATACTTTTACTTTTTTCAGACTTTGTTGACAACAATACTGAAACTGTTTGCTAACTCTTTGCAATTGAAACAACTCTTTCGGATTCAACATATTTAAGATGTTTATCAACACATCATCGATAAGTATTTGGTTAACTGTTGACTAAAATAAAATAAAAATCAAATCAATTAATACTTTTATAAAAAAATAAAATCATTTATACATAAACACGAAACTAATTTACCTCTTCTTCTTCTTCTTCTTCTTCTTCTTCATAAATGTCTGCCAATGGATACAACCATTTGTCTACTGAATCATTGTTTTGTGAATTATCTTCACTATCACTATCATCATCAAAGTCTTTGTAGTCATTGTTGTTAATCTCATCCAAAAGTGATTTACGCATACAATGAAAGACAATTATATTGTCCAATGGATCAGCCATTATGTCTGTGTCTATGTTTTCTTTGGATGTCTTTATCGACAAAAATTTTTTTTTATCAAAACTATCATAAAAAACAACTGAAAATACAATACAAGAGATGTCACACTTAAAACATATATAAATATATTTGATTTGCGTTTAAAGTACAGTATGTTATCAAACAAACAAACAAAAAAGTTTTAATTATTTTTATTTTATACAGTTTTATCAAATAAAGTACATTATTATTATTATTATTACTATATTTAATATTATAAATATATTATTATTAATATGTATTTAACAAATTTACAACTAAATTACAATTTATTTATATAAAATTTATTTTTAAAAATTATTCAAACAGTTATAATTTTTAAAATATATATATATTTTTATCATTAAATAGTAATTATTCTATTACTAATTTTAATAATTAAATAAAAAATTAATGTTTTACGGGGAACTAACTAGTTATATACAAATTAAAATTAATCAAATTAAATATCTATTTATTTAGTTTACAAAAAATTAAACATTTTTAATAATTTAAATATAGATATTATATTAAACCATTATATAATATTATAAACTATTAAACTATATAATATATATATAGCTAACTTAAATTTTTGTTATTGAAAAAATTTGATGTCAAATATTTGTTGAAAAATATTATCATTGCTAATATTTAAATCATCAAATAGTTTACTAACAGTAGTTGTATTAATTAGATTAGTTGTCAAACTAATAATATTATTATTATTACATTCATCGATAATTTGTTTGCATGTTGGTCTCTTATAATAATTATCCAGTATCATTTTAGAAACAATATCGCGGATATTTTTAATTAAAAGTTTTCTGCTTGGTGAAATTTCAGGTTTATTATCATTATATATAAAAATATTGTACTCTGAATTAGAAATATCATAATTAACTGAATTATTATTATTATTATTACCATTGTATGACTGTAGACAATCTCTAAAATAAAATTTATTAAAAAAAACATGATAAATAAATAACATTTTATAAGTTTATATAATAAAATTAGAACAAATTTAACTGGCTTACTTTATAAAATTGTAATAATAATCAGTATTTTTGTTGTTTATATAGATTTGTAAACATTTACTAAAAAAACAAAAAAAAATTAAAATAATTTTTTAAATAGTTTAGTAGTATTTTTTGTTTGTTTGTTTATTATTGAATAGTTATGACTTACTTGATATCTAAAATGCCGAATAACTCCATTATAATTATAGCCATACTATAGATATCACTTTTTTCATTATACGGTACTCTATCGGCCTGTCTATTGACTTCCGGTGCCATATATAGATTAGTACCGATTCTATTGGTATGAATATCTGATGATTGACCATCAATACGGTGATTGTGTTCAGTGGCCAAACCAAAGTCACATAATTTTATGAATCTATTATCAATTGGTTTAGTATTAATGAGTATATTAGCGGGTTTGAGATCGCGATGAATAATAGGTGGTTGTCTTGTATGCAAATAATCAACACATTCACACATTTCAAGCATCAGATGACTAGTAATATAATACTCGACACAACTAATCGATTCATTAGGTTTTCGTCCAAATGTCTGGATTTTCATATCAATAATATTTCGCAAACTTTGCGAACATAACTCCATTTGTATGTATAGACAGTCGGATCCAAACCATGTGTCATAGTATTTGACTACAAATTTTGAACGAAGTTTTAGCAAATTTTTTACTTCGCCTATTAAATCACTGTTTAAATTAGGATCTAATTATACAATATATATATATATAAAAAAACAATAAATAAATACTAAACAATAGATAAATTAATTATTATCTAATTTACCGTTAAATATAACTTTTACGGCATAGAAATCGTTGGCAATCACTTTGTCCTCGATTTTATATACCTGTCCATAGGTTCCCGAATCCAATCTATTGTGTCTAATGAATGTATTTTGAAAATAATCCAATCGTTCTCTAATATTATTAGTATTTTCTTCATATAAACGAATATCAATTGTTTCAATAGTTTTCATTTTTTTCATAGCAATCAAATCAATAAAATTATAGCTATATTTGCAATCAAACAATTCATCCAATTTAAAACCATTATCATAGTTAATCTCATAGTATTTATCATTAATTTTGATAAAATTTTCACAAATACTGTCGACATTAATCAAAATCAATCGATCACTAGTAGACACTATTTTCTTAATAACACCCGTTTCATATAACTGTCCAGTGTTTGTCAGAAAATATATGACATTTGTAAAGTGCTTATTGGTCCAGTAATTGGCAATTGATTTAATATTACTTAAATCGCTAACCAATTGTGGTTCAGTTAGATATTGTTTGCTTGAAAATAGGCCGCTGATAAAACTAAACTCATAGGTATAACCAAAACGATTGGATTGATTGTAACCCCAACTGTAGACAAAGCCATCGCGGGTTAAGGCAAATGAACATAACGTATGACAATATATTGATTTGATTACAATATTTTGGTTGGTGTTGTTGTCCGGAAATATAACCCGAGTGGGCGTTTCAATACATTTAGATTGTTGTCCGCAACCGCACTGTCCTCTGCTATTATCACCCCATCCATAGACAGTAGTACCGTCACTGTTCAGCGCCAGTGAATAATCTTTACCACATTGGATATCACTAATAAATTTATCGGTAAAAAACTCGATGATTGCCGGTTTACAGTACTTTTCATCATTACTACTACTACTACTACTACTAGCACTGGTAGTTCTACCCAATTGTTTGAATTCATTTGAACCCCAACTGTAGACTTGTTGATCGCTTGTCAAACACAATCCAAATGTATTGCCAAATATAAATTTGTTGACTTGTTTTCCGCATAACTCGTCTATTAATTTTGGTTCATTGATTAGTATATTATGACCCAACCCAAGTCTACCATTTCCATTATAGCCCAACCCGTAGACGCGGTCATCATTTGTCACAAACATAACATCAAACAACAAATTATTAATATAAGTGCAATGAAATAATTTTATTTCATATTTAATACGATTTGGTATTAGTTTACAAATTGTAAACTCATTAAACAAATCAATAGTTGACATTATTATGTTATAATATTTTAATTATATATATATATATTTAGAAATAAATTATTTAATATTTATTACTATTTATTAGGAAATTGAAATAAACAATTGTATAGATAATTGTTATAGAAATTAAGATAAGTTAATAAAAATTATATAGTGATAATAATTATTTTTAATATAACATTTAATATATAAATGTTGTAATATTTTATGTTTAATATTCTAGATAATACAGTATCATACTATGTATTAATATTATTAGTTTATTTTAATAACAATTATTTTATTATATAATATGATAGATGATCCTAACAAATTAACCTTATTAAATAAAATGAATAATTTTATGAATGAAATAATAATCAATAATATTTTATTTAATATTACATATAATACACATATTAATATACAAATAATATACATAATTACATTACATATATCAAAATTTTAAGTAATATGCAAAAACAAAATATATTATTTATTTATAAATAAAATATTTAATTAACAAAAATATAAATTATTAAAAAAATAAAACATTAAAAAATCATTATAAAAAAATTCAAATTTAATACTTATTTTAGGCTCTATCTTAAAATCAGACCAAAATCGACTTCAGACTTCAGAGTCTGAAGTCTGATGAAACATCAGACCGGTATCAGACCTTTATTAGATCGGCATCAGACCTGTATCAGACCCGTATAAAAGCTCATCAGACCTCCATCTGACTAATATAATACCCCATCAGACCCCCATCAGACCCCCATCAGACCCCCATCAGACCCCCATCAGACCCCCATCAGACCCCCATCAGACCCCCATCAGACCTCCATCAGACCCCCATCAGACCTCCATCAGACCCCCATCAGACCTCCATCAGACCCGTAAAAAATTAATTAAATTAAATTTAATTAAATTTAAAAATTAACTAAATTAAATTTAATTAAATTTAAAGATTAATTAAATTAAATTAAATTAAATTTAGTTAAATTTAATGAAATTTAATGTAATTAAAATTAATAAAATTTAACTTAATTAATTTTTAAAATAAATGAAATTTAACTTAATCTAATTTTTAAAATTAATGAAATTAAATTCAATAAAATTTAGTTAAATTTAATGAAATTTAACTTAATATAATTGAATATAATTTAATATAATTTAATGTAATTTAATATAATTAATTTTAAATTTAATTAAGTTTAATTTAGTTAACTTTTAAATTTAATAAATTAAAATTAATTTTTTACGGGTCTGATGGAGGTCTGATGGAGGTCTGATGGGGTTCTGATGAGCTTTTATACGGGTCTGATACAGGTCTGATGCCGATCTAATAGAGGTCTGATACCGGTCTGATGTTTCATCAGACTTCAGACTCTGAAGTCTGAAGTCGATTTTGGTCTGATTTTAAGATAGAGCCCTTATTTTACTATATTCTTATATATCATATAATTATGGAAAATTTTAGCTAATATTTTGTTAATTAAAACATAACTTATTTATACTATTAAATAAATAATAATTAAACATTTCGATAAATTGTTTGAATTGATTTCTATATTTATAGATATATATAGAAACCACAAATTTCTAGAATTAATTATAATTTTAAGTTTTTAAATTATTTTTTTTTAGAAAAAATAACCTTTTGATTTGATTTTTTAATTTTAAATTTTTTATTGATTATTAACTATTTTTGTTTTTAAAAAATTCTGATAATTCTGTGTAACACTAGTTTGTTGCTAATTATAGGTATGGCCTTCGACTCAAACAAAGAACAAGTAGAGGAGCTTATGGATGATCTGATTGATCAGGTAAGCGATGAATACAAACATGATGTAGTGCCAACAGTAGATAATTGGTCGGTCAAATGGCCAACCTGGACAAACGCTGGACCGGGACACAAGTTGACCTGGGAATCGGACGAACAAGAAATGCTACACTATAGACAGCTACTGGGCCAATACGGCTACACTGTTGGCAAATTTATTGCTGACCGCAGGGGACATCACGATCACCAGTTGATTTTGGTAACCAAACCGGTAAACTATGCGTGCAAAGTGGTGTCAATGGGTTTCTATAGACGGAAATACAAAAACATAGATCAGTCGGTAGTGGCCTTTCGTAGAGAATCGGATATACTGTTGCGTATGAATCACCCGAATATCATCCAAACGATAGACCACATAGAGTTGAGTGACCGTCAAACAGGTTTTCCGTACAATTATGCGGCACTTGTTTTGGAGCTAATGGACGGTACGGTTACCGAACTGAGACTAACGCTTAGCGATAGAAGAATACCTGAATGGTTGTGCCGTATTTTGGCCAGAGATGTGCTACTGGCGCTCGATTATATGCACAATACAGGGCCAGGCAAACCATTTACGGTTGTCCATATGGCTATTGCATCCAGAAACATATTGTATCGAGTGGTACATAGCGGTGCTCTAATATCCTATTTGTTTAAATTGGCCGATTTCGAGGAATGCTGTATCTATGAGGGAAATGAACAACAATTGATGCCCGAATCCAAATTGGAAAAACCATATGTGACTAACTATAGTCCACCCGAACTAGAAGATGGACAGATAGACAGATTACGTCAAATGTTGACACCGCCAATGGATATCTATAGTTTGGGTAGTATTGTATACAGTTTGTTTGCTCATCGCATTTATAGTACTAAAAATTATCACAACACCTTTACCAATCGTAACGAACCACCGATGGGTAACTTTATCTATTCGCTGACCCGTACACATCAGGACCATAGACTAACAGCACGAGAGGCACTTCAACACCAATGGCTCCAACAATAACAACAACAATACATGAAAGCCATTGTATAGTATATAACTTATATATAAATTTATGTATCATTAGTAGGTATGACCACAATACCAGTAAAAATTAATGACTCTTTTTTTAAGTGTAATAATAGATACACACAAAAAATAGTTACAAATAGTTATTTACTGCCCATTAATTAATTAACTAATTATTATATCATAAATATTGATAATACTTTCTATAATGTATTTGTAAAAACTCTTATAATAGATTTTTTGTTTTAATTGTTTTAGTAATGTTAGAAATTTATTACCAGTATATTTATCGTATACTATTTTATAATTTTTTAAAATTTTAAACAAATATTTATTGTTAATGAAAAATATTTTATTTATTTTTTTTGTTGGAGGAAATAACCAAAATCTAATAACTTCTAGCAGTTATTGTTTTTTTTAAACGATATATATATACAGTATATTTATAGGGTATGGCCGACAATTCAGATGAAAAACAAGTCCAGAATGTCTTAGATAACTTGGTCGGTGAAGTGGTCAGACGTACTACCGAACCTATTGGAAGGGAACCTACAGTAAATAATTGGTCGGTCAGGTGGCCAACCTGGACAGACGCTGGCCGGGGACATCAGTTGACGTGGGGATCGGACGAAAATTATATGTTACACTATAAACAGCTTCTGGGCCAATACGGCTATAAAATTACTAAACTTATAGCTGAACGCAAGGAACAACACGAACACCAGTTGATTTTGGTAACCAAACCGGTAGACTATGCGTGCAAAGTGGTGTCAATGGGTTTCTATAAACGGAAATACGACAACAATATGGATCAGTCGGTAGTGGCCTTTCGTAAAGAATCGGATATACTGTTGCGTATGAATCACCCGAATATCATCCAAACGATAGACCACATAGAGTTGGGTGACCGTCAAACAGGTTTTCCGTACAACTATGCGGCACTTGTTTTGGAGCTAATGGACGGTACTGTTGATCAATTGAGAAGATCGTGTGATAAAGGAAGACTACCCGAATGGTTGTGTCGGCTTTGGGTCAGGGATGTGGTACAGGCGCTCGATTATATGCACAATACTAGTCCAGGCAAACTATTTACAGTTGTCCATATGGCAATTGCGCCCCGAAACATATTGTACCGAGTTGTACATAACGGTGCTCTAATAACCTATTTGTTCAAATTGGCMGACTTTGAGGAATGCTATATCTATGAGGGAGATGTCCAACAATTGATGCCGGCATCCCAAGTGGCACATCCATATCGCACCGGCAACAGTCCACCTGAGTTAAAAATTTCAGCGAGATCATCATTACCAGCTATGTTAACACCGCCAATGGATATGTATAGTTTGGGCGCCTGTCTCTACTGGACCTACACACGCCGTCTATATACTCAAAATGATTTTATAAACAGTTATAAAACTTATACCATACCAATCATCAACTTTATCTATTCACTTACCCGTCCCCAACAGTTTCGCAGACTAACAGCACGACAAGCTCTGCGACACCAATGGCTGCAACAATAATGACTGACAGACAAACAGACACATAGACAGACACCACCACAGATCTGTAGGTAATACCTGAAATGTAAGTATTGATGTAATGTGTAAGTAGTAGTAAAATACATAAAGTTTCTAAACAAACAAACAATTAATTTAATTACATATAACTTAATTTTTGGAACAAATGTAGATTATAGACATCCAGTAGGAAATTATTTGCTTCCTAACCTCACACCCACCCCAATCTAACCTAACTAAATAATAATTAAGTAATAAAACTAACATTTTATATATGTATAACTGCATAAAAACAATACTTTTTTTGCTGGCTGTCTATAATATACATTTAAGCCTAATTTTTTATTCAATTGTCTACTAATCTAATAATCAATGTTTTATTATTTATTTTTTAAAATTATCACCAAAAATATTTGGAGATCTAATGTATAGAAATGCTAACCAACAACAACAACAAAAAAAATAGTTACATTTTAAAAAAATTATATTTTTACTGTATAATTTTAATTGTTAACTTTATTTTTTTTTATAAAAAGCAATTTTTACCATTATATACAAATCAATCAATCAATCAACTGTATCTCAACTCACAATTATTATCAATAGCAACAATGGCAGTCAATGATGATGATGAAGAGGAAAGTAAGTACAATGAGATTCTCCAACTAATGGATGAATTGGTCGGACAAATGGAGGGAAATCTATTGGATCCGCAACCGTGGGAACTGCAAGAATCATATCTGCAGCAGCAACCAATGGTACCGCCAATGGATCATTTGCATGAAAACTGGTCGGACAAGTGGCCCGATTGGGACAAGGCTGGCGAGGGACACGATACGGCATGGTTTACCAATTTTGACGACAGGAAACACTATTGCAATCTGCTTAGAGCGCACGGCTATAAAATTACCGAACCGATTCGGTACAGTGAAGGTGCACACGATCATCAAATCTATGAGGTGGAGACAATACCTGTCCAACCCAATGATCCAAAAAACGTGTATGTCTGTAAAATTGTATCAATGGGTTACTATAAGCAAAAGTTTGATGACATCAATGAATCGGTACTGGCCTTTCGTAAGGAGACGGCAATACTGTTGCGTTTGAAACACAAAAACATTATCACAATTGTCGATAGTATTGAACTAAAGGATCGTCAGACAAATTTTCCATACAATTATGGCGCACTGATTATGGAGCAAATGGAGGGAACTCTCAATGGCTTCCGTAAAGAAAGTCCACTGGAATTGCTGACCGAAGAGGAAAGCCAGGTATGGGTCCGGGATATAGCTAATGCTTTGAAATATTTGCATAGTATGTCTAAACAGGAGACCAACGACGAGGATGAGATAGTTGGTTACACTCAATACTATACGGTTGTTCATATGGCACTCACACCGCGTAATATACTATTCAATCGTCTTTATGATAAAAAAACCGATACGTTTATTAGGTTTCAGTTCAAATTGGCCGACTTTGAGGAATGCTATATCTACGAACGCCACGAACAGGTAGTTATGCCTGATTGGGCACTGGCCAAACCTTATACACACAGACAGAGTGCACCCGAACTGAAAGAAGCGACCAGCGATTTGGATACCCGGCCAATGGATATGTTCAGTTTGGGCGCCTGTATTCACTATATGTTTACTGGGAAGGGTGGAGAGTTTACAGATGAAAAGTTTGAAAAACAAGCTCATATATATCCGCCATTAATGGCCCAATTTGTTCGACAGCTCACAGATCTAGTTCCCAGCAATCGGCTGACGGCTACCGAAGCTCTGGAACATCCATGGCTTAACACCGATTGATTGGATATATCAATACTATAATAGTTTGATAATATAGAGTATTAGAAAAGAGTCTATAAAATAAATAGAAATTAGAGAACAAACTTTTAATTTTTTATAATATAATAATAATATCTATTGATTAACCCATTACTGACAGTTCCGCAAACTAAAGGCACAGCAATTGGCTAAAATACTAATGGTTAACACAATCATAATGTAATACCCGTGAAATAAATATATATTTATCGGTAAATATTCTATCTGAACTATCTTTTTAAAAAAATTACAAGCCGATACTGTATTTTTTTTAAATTATTATATAATGATAATATATTTGATTAACTATTATATTTAATTGAAAAAACAACAAAAATGCAAATAAGGTTTGTAATAAAATTTTTGATTTTTTTACCATAATTTGATCATGATCACATTGTCATATTTTATGGATTATCTATAATTATTTTTTTGAGCTTTTTTCAAACATATTTTTCACAATCTAATGAAATTTATTATTTTTTTAATTATACAAATTGTTTTATTGTATTGTTGTTACAATTAAAACAAAAAATTCAATCAATCAATCAGTATATATCAATCACTAGTATCATCACCACAACCATCAAGAATAGACAACAACTTAGTAGACATAACAACAACAACAACAACAACAGTCAAATATAAAACACACATACAATACTGGTATGTCAGACAACCAGCAACAACGGCCACGGAAACTACCGGATTGGCTACGGGGAAGACAGCAAAGAAGCCCACGACCGGCACAACCACTGGGACAACCACAGGCACAACTTCCGTCATCACCGCGACAGCCGCTGCCGGCTCCGACCAATCAAATCGAATTGAGACCGGGCGAACTGGCCAGACGATTGCCACCACTGCCACCCAATACCAATCCTACTGTCGGAAACTGGAAAGACAAATGGCAATACTGGGTCGATGCTGGTCAAGGACACGATAAGATATGGCTCAGCGATCAGGACGAACACAATCACTATATCGGTATATTTCAGGCACATGGATACGAATTGGGTGAACCAATACAGCTGATGAGTGGACGACACGATCATCATATCTATCGTGTACGGGCACCGGCCAACAAACCCAATGTACCGGCTGGCAATTATGTTTGCAAAATTGTATCGATGGGCTTCTACAAGGACAAGCACGGGGATATGGAGGTATCGGTGCAGGCCTTTCGCAAGGAAACGGATATACTGTTGCGTATGCATCACGAAAATATTATTGCCGTTTTGGAAAGCTTTGAGCTCCTTGATCGGCAAACACAGTTCCCATATAATTACGGGGTACTGGTTATGGAAACAATGGACGGTACTCTGCATCAATACAGATTATCGCTACCCAATCAGATACTGAATGAAAATGAAAATCGGGTCTGGGTCAGGGATGTGGCCAATGCACTCAACTATATGCATACTAAAGAAAAAAAGTACTACAATCCCAATGCACTAACCCCTGGCCACACTTATACTGTAGAAAATTTTACTGTTGTCCATATGGCACTTACACCGCGCAATATACTGTACAAACAGATCAGAGATGTCTATACGAATGAGTTCATACGGTTCCAGTTCAAATTGGCCGACTTCGAGGAATGTTATGTCTATGAAAAATTTCAACCAGTGGTACTACCAGAACA